GTTTCGTAGCGGGGGCAGGGAGGTCGTCGGGGGTGGGGCAGCCCGCGGGTGGGCGGGGCCGCTTTCTCCGGCCGCGCGTCTGCGCAGAACCGCTGCTCCAGGTGCGTCCGCCCTTCTCCACTCCCGCTTGCCTCTTCCCTTTCATTCTCCTTCCTCTCCTACGGGAGTTTTCGAGGGACGCGGGGCTTGCCTGGCAGATCCCGTGCACACCTGCGCAGATGCGGTCAGCTGCTCAGATCCTCGCCGCCCTTCCCCTGGAATCCTTTGCGTAGACACCTGTTAAGTTTCCGGCGGGGGGGTGGGGGGGCGTAGCACTTCCAAGTGTGGTCTCCCAGGGACGTTGTGGCGCGGCGCGGACGACACATTCGGCACGTTCGGTGCCTCTGAGACCAGGCTGTCGGAGGGAGGAGGGAGGAGGGATTGAGGCCCCTCTGTGGTGGCTTTTCCCACCCACTCCCCAGGAGTCAGGATGGGCGGAGGATGGGAGGGATGCACTGGAGCGCGGGATGCAGGTGTCCCGGCCACCAGACTTGACAAACGCTAGCGGTGTTCTCCGCGTTCAGGCCTTTGCCTCGCCTGTCTGCTTAGAACGTTTTTCCCTGGAGTGCGGCAGGTAGCATGGGGTTAAAGTCCTGGACTCCTACGTGGCCAGCCGAGCTGTAGTCCTGGACCTGGTGGCTTCATAAATCAATCCTGGGAGGAGAACAGAGAAGGGATGGCAGCATCCCTCTGGGGGAGATTTCTCACTTTCCCCCAAGTCTCTCTCCAGCTAGTGCGCGTGCCTTACGGTGAAAACAATGTAAATACAACAGAACCAAAGGCTTCTCCCTTGCCCTCCGCTGTTCCTGGTACCCGACCCCCACAGGCTGTCCCTGCAGGCTCTCTCCAGCCCCGCCCCCACCACAGTGCTCCCTGGGCTGGTGTGTGCTTCCAGATCCTTCCACACTACCACGTCTTAGCACCACCTGCCCCGGGCCGCTGTGGCCTGCTCTGGGGGCAGCAGCAGTTTTGTTAACTCGGAGTGTGTGGGGGGTGACACACAATTATTTTCTTTACAAATTAGATCTAAATCTGAGCCTGTGCCCAGTGGGCTGGCAGGAAATTCCTTTTTCAAGAAGTAGGGCCCTGTCCGCCTCCTCTGGAGACCCAGAATCTCACCAGCCAGCGCAGTGCTTGGCAATCAAGAGATGGCCTGGGGGTCAGGGCATCAGTGTTCCGCAGTCCTTGTCTGAGCTGAGAGGCCCTGGGCCCAGCAACCGTATGTGCTGTCAGACACACGAGTCCTGCAGGGCTGTGCCCTGTGCCCTGCTCTGCGTGTGGTCCTGCGTCCCCTGCTCTGCGTGTGGTCCTGCGTCCCCTGCTTGCGTGTGGTCCTGTGTCCCCCGTTTTGCACGTGGTCCTGCCGCCACTGTCTTCCACCAGGGAGCAGGCCGCAGTCCCACAGGGCAGCCGCAGTGTCCGCCAGCCACGGCCG